AAAAATATAGTAGTTCCTACAAAGACCTCTTCTGATGTGTTAGAGCAGCGAAAATGAAACTGAGTTTGACATTTAACGCGCCCCGGCGTAATTTTGTTAGACTGAATTTGGCCCCTAGACTGGTAGTAATCACTTGATAGCGTAAATCCCGCTGATTCCAATACTGTGCTTTTCTCCAAGAAGGCTTTCTAGTGCCCTGTGGCAGCGAAGAGAAAATCACGCTTCACATTGGTTTACTCTGCTCTTTGGCTTCACGACACCTCACAAGTTTGCTATGGGTTAGCACTGGCCTTTGTTGCTGGACAGAAATTTTCCACTGGACTTCCAGTAATCATGCGACAGCTCAAATCTCGACGACTGTAATACTGTTTTTTTTTTCAAAAAAAAACCTTCTCAGAATGGTATAGCAGCAAAGAATAACATTACACTTCACACTCAGAGTCATCAACTTTTCTTAACGACTTAAACAGTAGCGCAGCGTCATACACAGGTGGCGCGTGACTACTCTTATTTGATTTGACATTTTTCCTCCGTTTCGAAAAAAGAGCGTGTGGTATCGCAGTGGTGTGAGGTGCTCTGTGTCGCACATAAGGTCGATGGTTCGATCTCGCGCTCTTGACTCATCGAACATCCATACCTCCGGGATCGGTAAATTGGTACCAGACTGCTTCCAGACTTGTCTAGGACGATAAGCAGTACTCGATACTGCGGCAGGCTACCATGACTCAATGTAAAACCCAGACATGCATTCGACCGTTTCGAGGTTAAAAATTGAAGACGAATGCATGGCGCCTCTCCCGGGGATTGATCAACATCAAAAGTTCTATCCCTTATGTTCTAGAAAAACTCTAGAAGAAGCGTATTACTCGGACACTCTAAGATTTCCTCCACACATTCACGTGCTTTTCGTACATAGGCTTGAGTTTAGCCTCATTAGCAGATTTGGCAACATAAAAAAATGAATAGCATAAACAAGTGCAACGATAGAACAAATCATCTTCTACACCTTAAAAAGAAGAAAATTTAAGATTTTTTTCCAAAATGAAGAGAAGATTTTCGTATAAATAGCGAAAATATGCGCGTCCTGTGTGAAGCGCAATTGAATTTTCACTATTACAGCGCCGCGAAAAGCCTCCTTAGAAACTAGATGAACTTTTGAAAACATCAAGATCTCAGCTTCTGACTAATAACTAAATCCAGCGGAAAATCACTACCCAGAAAAAAGGCCAACGCCTCCTCATAACAGAAAAGTACCACAAAAAATATAATGGACTTAACCGAGCCAAGAGTGAAAAACTACAAGTTATGAAACAGAATATAAAAAAAGATCCAGCAGATCAACTATATGTAGCATTTCCATGGTTTTTGAAAAAAAGGCTGAGAATTTCCCTAGACAAAAACTACCTGAGTATCTTCGTTAACATTCTTTTTCCATTCTGCATTGATATCGATTCCTGTACGACGATACGAGGGTTGATATCGTCCACAACCACCTGCTTTGATGACCTTTTCTCCATCATCTCCGTCCTTTAATGATTTAGAAAAATTATCTCAGAATACACACTATATCAATAAATAATCAAATAGGGAAAAGGTAATAACATGAAAAACTTGCCTCCATAGTTTGACTCTCAAGCTCATTTCCGCCATCACATACGATTTTCGACTTGCACATGTCATAAATTAGTGTTAATCGACGTCGAGGATTACCTTAGAAGAAGAAATTTCCCTCTCTGTTGCACTTTATTCTTCAATTTTCATAGATGTCTAATAAACCTTGAGTCTTTCTAATGATTTCCTTGATACGCTGGTTGTCTTTGTCCAGAAGCAACTTACTGCAGTAAAAACAAACACAGCGAAGAATCTAAATGCAACGATATCAGGTTGTAAAAAAATTGAGGCCACTGACAAAAAGGACGACAATAGCCAACTCAAAAAAAGAAAATTTGAAGCTGTCAACCTTCAATATTTTCGCCAGAAATCCTACATGGAATACCGGTCTTGCAAGCTCCAAATGAGCAAAATGACCAGGACAGTCAGCCAAATTCCCAGCACATGTCATACATCTTAAAACTGTTCGTTAACTCGAAGTCACCGTAAAAAAAGAAACAGAATAGGAAATGGAGAAAGAAAAAAGAAAACAGGAAAAAACAGAGGTTCCAACCAGTTATAAGGGGACAAATGAAAAATAGATGTCATTCGCTAGAGAGAAACTTTTCATAGGAGTTTTAGCGACCATTCGAAAGCTGAAACTTCAGGCTACAGCCCCATGCCGCCGATTTTTGGAAAAGCTTTTCTTGACATTGCTACAGGTGGAGATTTCGTGCATTGCAAACGCGGAGATTTCTCGCCGGATGGAACTCTTTCGTTGGACGATTAGTAAGCATTCGATAGCGTAAACGCTTCTAATTCCAACGCTGTGCTTATATATTTTAAAAAGACCGCTTCTCTGAAACGCAGAGGTAAAATAAGCTAACTTCTCATCTGCCCTCGAGCGGGTCTTTAGGCAAATCACCTGCCTGTGCGCGAGGCGATCACGTGAACTGTTAACGCGATACTTCTCTACGCGTTCGTATTCCCGATCTAATCGATGATCATCGTGTCATCGAACGTTGCTGCATCAGCCAGCCTCACGTGAATTGGCCAAAGACTCTCCTGATCAGAGATGGGAATTCAACTTACTTGCCTGCTGCGTTTCAGAAAAAACGGTCTTTTTAAAATAACAGCACAGCGTTGAAATCAGAAACGATTATGCTATCGGATGACTACTAATCATGCAAAGAAGAACCTCTGTTCGGCGAGAAAAATGCGCGTCTGCAACGCAAGAAATCTCACCCTGAAGCAACGTCACAAAGGCTTTAGTCGAAAACGGGCGACATAGGGCTGTAGCCTACAGTCTCTGCTTTTGAATGCTTACTAACTCTCCTATAAAAAGTCCCTCTCCAGTGAATGAGATCGGTTTTTATTAGTCTCCTTACAATTGAAAAGAACTAGCGAAGATTCAAATAGAGAATGCAGATGGCACCGACCGTCCTCGTCGGTCGATAACTCCTTGGCGGGGATCCATCAAGCCACCTTTCTTTGGTTTTCCATTCTCATAGATCTCCGGAAACTCGATTTCTCCCACCGACATACGTTTCTTAAAATACATAATCTTAATTCTCTACTGGGACAAGGAAACGAAAACCCGACCAGAAAAGGAAATAAAAGAAAAGAAAAGAAATCGAAAACCAGTTCGACTCACAATTTCGTCGGGACCCAAGATTCCGAACTGAACTCTCTTCACTTCCCTGAGCGGGGCACGAAAATCGATGCCGACAAGAGCCATTTCTCAGGGGGAACCTGAGGAAACGAAGATTTTTCGTATATCGTTGAAAATAGAAAAAATGACGACTATTCAACGACCACCAACAACTACAACCCCTTTCACACACGAAACGGACAAATCGCGGGTCACGTGACTACGGGAGATCACGGGAGATCAAAGGAGTGGAAGGACTCAAAGAGAAACGGAAACAAAACCGGCACCCACCCAAGGCGACTCAACTCGGGAATGAGTGGGGATTTTCGAATAGATGGACGAACGCGACCAGCTGATTGATTAGAGCGCGAACTGCACGCTGGAGCGTCGATTCTCCATGTTCCAACTCCAAGTCACCCAGATGCTTGGACGGCTCGTCTTCACAGACAATGCGAGCCACAGCACATAACCCTAGAGTCCAGAAGTTAGCCTAGCCGAGGCTCCTTTAGGCCTTCACCACATTAGAGCGGTCACTGGCCCTTGTGGATCAGGGAGAGACTACCACCTTGCGACTAGTAGCTACCAAGACTGCAGTCATTCCGGTACGAATCACTCTTAGCTGGGCTTTTCGGGTGCAAACGTCGGACCCTTTCTCGGCTTGGGTGGCCCTGCTGGAGGGTTGAATCCCCCGCTGTACTTCGCAGTCCGACACCCACGAACATTTTCCAGCCACGATGAGGCGGTAAACCATCTGGGAGCTTATCACATCCACGGTGTGGATTTCTGGATTCGTTTCCTCGCACTTATCCTCCACAAGGTTCTTCGGACATCCCATGTGTGGCTTTGGCCGCTACTCGGGGATTTCGTCTTCTTCATGAATATGGGTGACGCCGTAGCTGAGTGGTTGTGATGCTCGACGCGGAGCGCTCGTGTTGAGCTGGGGTACGAACCACTTCCTTGCTTATCACCGTGCTTTGGAATACACCGCATCACTATCCACTGCGCTACTCCCCCCCCCCCCCCCCCCCATTCCAATTTAGCTGATTTCAAGTTCAGCTGTGAACATTTTGAGTCTTTTGGAAGATTGTGACTTTACTGGTAGGTCCAAGTTGACTATCAATCATTTTTTCCTCCCTGTGTCGTTTGAGTACGGTATGTACGCTAAAGAGTATAACGAGAGCGCTTTACTCCTTCTAATGAAGTCCGTCGATTGGGTCGATATTGATCGTGATATATCCTTTTGTGATCTACATGCCCAACGAAAGCTATTCAAGGTGGGACTCAAAGTATCCACATGTTCTAAAAATCATCATCATTCAAAAGCACCTGTGACGCTTTAATCCTTTCGGGACCGTGGACCCACGGTCTTTGCATCTCTGACTGACAAGTCTGGACGTCCTGCTCCCCCTCCCCTGCATCTCTAACCCCCAGCTTGCCATTCTTAGACGCAGCACGCTGGGGGTTAGAGATGCAGGAAGGGGGGGGGGGAGGCAGGGCGTCCAGAGTTGCCAGTTAGAGATGCACGGGCCGTTAATTCACGGTCCCAAAATGGGCTGATTTGTCCCAATTGCACGACATCCGCTTTTGTCTGAAGTTGAGATGTAATTCTTTATAGAACGTGAGATAAGTACCTTTTTGGAACATCGATCTAGGAAAATGATAAACTTTCTATCTCCTGAGCGGACCCGACCATTCTGGATTGAGCTAACTGGTTATTCTATTTGATCATCTAAGAGGACCGAGTGGTACGCAAAAAATCAGCCTCAAGCGAGAGTTGAACCCGCGTTTCACCCTTTCCGGGTGCGTGCGCTACCACTACACCACTAAGGCCATCGCTCTGCGACCATTCTGTCTTCGATATAAACTATCGAAGCTGTCAGCAGCCAACCGTCCATGGGTTCAGTCGCCAAGCACATATCGGCATCAAGGAGTGTCGTAAAGCGGTGGCCTTGGTGTAATGGGAGCGCGCGCACCCCGTCAGCGTGAAACACGGGTTCAACTATTGCTTGAGGTCGACTCTTTGTGTAGCACTCAATCTTTTTAAATGAATATTTCAACATCAACCATCACTAGAAAGCAGTAAAATGAAACGAAAGAAGAGTCTATCTGATCTATAGTGATATAGTTTACTTGTGAACTGTGTACTACTGGACTGACGAAACATGCATCGATGAACTAGCAATATATCCAGGAATGTGGAGTGGTTAGCAAAACTTCTAGCCTCCCACGAGAGTTGAACCCGTGTCTCACCCTCTCCAAGGGCGTGCTAAGCACTGCTATAGCGGGGCTTCTCTCATCTAATCAACTAACACATTGAACGAGTTTAATTAGTATTCAACCGGGTACTGCTATTGTCGCTTAATTGTGGTAGAAAATAAAGTATCATGCGGTTCCGTTGTAATTAGAGGTTTGGGAAAATCTGTCGCTATCTCTCCTAACACATCGGCTTTTCCCTCAAGCAAATCACCTATCGAGATCTAGTCCACTTCTATCTTAGATATGGTAACATACAAGGGAGTAGATTAACAGCGACTCAAGCTACACTCAGTTTTCCCCAGACATGCATATTCTACACCTCGCACAATTCGCCTGCGCAACGTTAGGATACGGTATGGAATGTACCAACAAGGGTACTGAGAGGTGAACAAAACTTGGAATTTGTGGTGGTGTCCAACCCACAGTTATACTATGCGGGAGCAGAGCTTCTACTAGGCCACGTGGAATTTTACATCTACACTTCATAAACTAGCTATTGACCACAAAAGTCCAGAAAGGAGAAACTTCTACGTACAAAGATAAGCCACTTCAAAAAAGAGTTCACCGTTTTGTGAGAGTACCAGAAAATTTGGAGTATTTTCTCTTAGAAGGCGACAAATGAATTTGACTTCAATCACTGGAGAAGACCTTTAATGCGAGTGTTGGTAATTATTCGAAAGCTCAAATTTCTGGCTAGAGCCGCACGCAGCCGCTTTTTCAAAACACCCTTTTGTAACGCTGAAAAATCCAAAATAAAATTATGTCTCACCCTTTAACGCGTATCTTTTTTCAATCTCGCTTATATTTCGCTGGGCAAAACTCCTTCCATAGTGTACTAGTACATTTTCGATAGCACAAGTCTTGAAGAACTCAAAACATGTTTGCTTTTAGAAAAGCTCTTTTGATAGCGTTGTAAGAGAAATAAAACGTTTGTGTTCTACACCTCGCCAGGCACAACCCTTTCTTTAGACTATTAGTAATCATTCGATAGCGTATGTTCCAATGATTCCAACGCTGTGCTCACTTTCTCGAAAAGACCGTTTCACTGGAGTGTAACAGGGAAAATAATATCGAATTTCGCATGCTCGGTGTGCTTGTTTAGCGGCTAGTCCACGCGTGAGGGGCGATCGATCGACGGCTCAAAGTGATAGCACGTGAGATGCAACTTGTGTCTCAATTGCGAAATTTTTCTTAACTTTGAAAAAAACCTCCACGGTAAACGGTTGACTCACATATTACGGAATTTTCTCTACACATTCATAAGCTTTTCGTGCTCCCAGCGAATTATACGCGTTAAAAATGAAGGCTCGCGGCGAGTGCGAAATATAATTTGGTCCTTGCTTATTATGAGGCGGCAAATGAGAAACCGATCTCAAGCACTGGACAGGAATTTTACATGGAAGCGTTAGCGATCATTCGAAAGACCCCTTTGCTCGCGTATGTTGATTCAATTAATTTTCTCTGTTGCATTGCAGAGAAACGGTCTTTTTAGGATATGAGCACAGTGTTGGAATCAGCAAGAATTACGCTATCGAATGATTATTAATAGTCCAGAGAAAGAGTTCTGTCTGGCGAGAAATAAATGCATCTGAGACATACATCTGTGTGAATCTTACACCGTTATGAAAGGGTCTTTTCGAAGGCCGGCGACTTGGTAGTGTAGCCAAAAATCTAATTTTTCAAATGATTGATTTCACTCCCGTGACAAGTTTCTGTCCAAAGATTGAAATCGGTTTTTCATTTGTCGCCTTATAATGAACAAATTCTCATTATTTTGGATTTTACAGCGTTATGAGAGGGTGTTTTAAAATACCGGCGACATACGACCCTATTTAGAGACCCTTTCATTATTATTTGAGCCAACTTGTCATGTGGTCTAGTAAGGGCTCTCGTACAGCCCGATACACGTGTTTCGCCTTTACAAACTCTTCAGTCGGGCAGAATCCGTCGTCTTTCGATATTTTTACAGTCAGTTCTCTCGGGAACTCTGCTCTCTTACAGTGAGTCATCGAAGACGAACGTTTTACACTCTATGTCAAGCGAAATTTTTACCTATCACAGAGTCTTTGAGCACTCGATTGCTCTTTGGCTGGTATTTTCAACATATTATACCTTTATTTCGAGTGCTTTGAAATTTGACCGTGGTCTTAATGAAGTTTTTATTTTTCATATTATTAGCAGACCACATAACAAGTTGGCTCAAATAATAATGAAAGGATCTATTTGGTCTTAATAAAGCATCGAAATAAACCTATTTATAGATTCAAATATTCGGGTGAATGCTAACAGTCCTGTAAAAAATTTTTTGTCCAGCAAATGGACTCAATTATTCATTTGTCGCCGTCCAACAGAAAAGAACTAGATTTCAATATTACAACTATACACGATAATTTGCATATCATTTTGCCTAGCGGCATGTGCACAGTGTATACATTTTCATACGTATTTGGGCATACATACATATATATATATATATATATATATATATATATATATATATATATATATATATATATATCTATATATATATATATATATATATATATATATAATATATATATATATATATATATATATATATATATATATATATATATATATATATATATATATATATATATACGGCTCCACGGACCTCCCTCTTTGAGGGATCCCGCCCGGTTAGTCGCGAGGGCACGTGGCGCGTCCCCAGGTGGTGGATAGGGGAATAAAACGCGAACCAAAAGCGACCGTGTGCTTCCCAGAGACGCAGGTGGATTCAGGGGACGAGCTCCCTGCTTCTGCAGTGCCGACTTGACAAAACTCTATTTCTACGAGTCAAGTCGGCCATAAGCCTGCAATCAAGCGGCTGGGAAGTTACATGGGAGGCGGTTAGGAGTCGCCTCCAACAAATAAGCTCCTCCCGCTCCTCCGAGAGAGACTGGCAAGCTACTCGTGAGTACCCAGCCCCCACGTTTAGAGCCTGGCAAGCTACACGTTGGGTATCAAAAATGCCAAAAACAGTAACAAATATGGGCCTCATTCCCCTGACCCCGAAAGAGACCCGGGTACGGCAGCGCCAGGTAGGACGAGTACGGAGAGGCTGCTAAAATCTCAGGGCCGAACTAGGCTGCCAAGATCGAAACGGACTAAAATGACGATCTGTACCTACAATGCAAGAGCCCTTGCTCAACAATCCGCTGTAGAAGATCTGTTGATTCAAGCAAGAAGAATAAGGTACGACGTCATTGGCCTGGCTGAGACGAGAAGGCGCCATCCTTTTCACGCTGTCTATGACACCGGAGAAGAACTGTTCCTTGGAACATGCGATCGCAGAGGTGTCGGTGGCGTTGGCGTCCTCGTCAAATCGAATTTGACCGTGAACATTGATTCGTTCGAACAACTAACAACCCGCATCGGACGATTACGATTGAAACGATGTGGTTCTATGCCGGCTTTGACCATCTTCGTTGCTTACGCACCAACATCAAGCTATGACGAAGACGAAGTCGAAGCGTTCTATATGGACCTCGAAAAATTCTTCAGAGAAGATCATACATTCTTCAAGGTCATTATCGGAGATTTTAACGCAAAAATTGGACCTAGAAGAACGTCTGAAGAATGTCACATAGGGACCCACGGACTAGAATGGAATGAACAGGGTGAGAGGCTATCCGAGTTTATCATGACGACCCAAACCATCCATGGTAACTCGCAATTCCAAAAGCCTCTCTCTCAGCGATGGACGTGGGAGTCTCCCAATGGAGAGTACCATAACGAAATAGATCACATCATAGTAAATAGAAGGTTTTGCCTGACCGATGTCCATGTTGTTCCTAAGTTCTACACGGGATCAGACCATCGCCTCCTTCTCGCAACGTTCCGATTTTCGAGGAGAGGGGAGAAAGCCGCTAAATTTAAACATCGAAGTCCCAGAACTACCATAAACTGGGATGTATTCAAATCATTAGTCGGCTCTTGGAAAGATACCGTTGTCGACAACATCGACGAAGAATACGATCGACTCGTTGAATATCTTCATGTTAGCGCTATAAAAGCAGAGAGTCCTAAGATTACGAAGAGACGCTTGTCTCCGCAGACACTCGAGCTGATACGTCAACGTGGAATCGCACGAGCTGCAGGCAATCGAAACCTTACGTCCGAACTTGCGAAACGATGCAGAGAAGCGATAAAAGAAGACCTTAAAGAGAGAAGAGCAGTAGTTATGGCAGAAGCTGCAGAAGCTGGGAAGAGCATTCGCAAAGCCCAGCGAGGCTTCGCCAACTATAAGACCAAGATGATTGCACTCCGCTACCCTGACGGGACACTTACAGCTTCCAGAAGGGCTATGGAGAAAATCATCCACCAATACGACTCGGATCTCTTCGCTAGCCATGTTCTCTTATCGTCATATAAATTGAAAGAGGACGAATATGTCGTTCCACCGGTCCTTCCTTCCGAAATCCGACATGCTATATCGTCGGTGAAAAACAGAACAACACCCGGTTCAGACAGGATTAGACCAGAACACCTGAAGAACCTGCCGCCAGTTCTCATCAACACCCTGGCTCGGCTCTTCACTCGCTACCTGTCAG